AGAGAGAGAAAAAGGAGAGAGAAAGAAAGGATAGAGGGAGAGGCAGAGAGAGAGGGAGAGACGGACAGAAACAGAGAGAAAGAGAGGGAGGAGAGAGAGAAAGAGAGGGAGGAGAGAGAGAAGAGGACTGGTTACAGGCAGGCTGGGCCAGGGGACCCCGAGGTTCACCACTCCCGAATTCCCTAAGGGACCCCCAGATTCCTTCTCCAATTTTTCTTGAACCACTTAAATTCCCAAATTCTACCTCTAAATTCCCAGATTCTCAAATTTCAAACTGACTCGCAGACCCCACATTTTCGATGCCCCAATTTTCCCCTGAAACTTCCCCTAAACCAAAGATGAACCCCCAAATCCTCCCGCCCAATTCCATCTGATGGCCCTCGCTCTCCCGTCGCTCCCCCTCCCCTTTCTCAGTGAGGCTCCGCCCCTGGGTGTGTCCCGCTGGGCATCCTAGGTGCACCCTCTAGGTGCATCCTCTGGTCTCCTCGCTGCTCCTCCCCCAGCAAGCTCCGCCCCCCAGGGTATCCCTCTCCACACAAGCTCCGCCCCTTGGTTTGCCTGCCCTGGTTGCTCCTCCCCTGCCCTCCTCCGCCTTCCCCTAAGCCCCGCCTCTTGGGTCCTCCGCACTTCAGCATACGTCATTCTCCATTGGCCGCTCGGCCTGCTCCATTTATGCTCCCATTGGTCCTTCAGCTTGTTCTTTCCTATTCTTATTGGCTATCCCATCCGGTACCTCTGGCCATTGGCCTGCCCCAAAGTCCGACCTTGCCGTATCCCCTATTGGTCCGGGGAAGCCCCCCACCCCGGAGGCTCATTGACTTTCTGAGATCCAGTGCCCCTCCTGAGGCATTTGAGAGGAGAGCTTATGAAGAACCCGCGAGGAGTCGCCTCCCTTCGGGAGAAACTCTGGATCAGTCTGGGAACCTACCGCCCTGGACGCCGCCATCTTGGTTCTTTCCTCTGACCAGAGTCTGCCGGCTTCTCCCTCGCAACTGCTCAATCATTGGCTCTTCCTTCTTGAGGTCCCGCCCTCAGACGGCATTTATTGGATCCTCCCTCCCCAATGTCAACCCTTGCGATCTTACACTGGCTCGTCTCTTGAGGCTCCGCCTTTAGGTAATATACTAGCCGCACCCTCTTGAAGCCCCACCTTCAGATCATTCATTGGTTCCTTCCCTTCTTAGGCCCGGCCCCATCTTAAAGGCGCAGTGTCTCCTAATTCAGCATCTTTCTGGAATCCTGCACTCTCTTCCCCGCCAGCCCCGTCATGAGTCCTTCCTAGAGTCTGCCCTCCATCCCTCCTGCTGCTGCTGGGGGGGCAGCGGCAGCCGCGGCCCCTCGAGCACCCCCAGCAGCAGGAGGGATTGTGGGTAGGCAGCAGGAACCTGGGCAGTGCGGACTTTGGCCTCGAGTGTCCGCGTGTCCCCGACAGCTCAGGATGGAGGCCTGGGGGCGGCTGGCCAGGGCCGGGCTGGCCCCGCCGGAGCTGGGCGCCCCTCCTCGCGCCCTGAGAGACCCAAGCGGTGCCTGGAGCTCTCCTGGGGCTGCAGCCAGGACCCCCCGTGCTGAGGATGGCGTGGTCTGGGTGTGGGAGCAGCTGGTGAGAGAGGTGGACAGAGACAGAGATGTGGGGAGAGAGAGACAGAGATGCGGGGAGAGAGATAGAGATGGGGGGAGGGAGAGAGACAGAGATG